GCTTGGGAGAGAAAATCCTGGGGTTGGGAGGTGGTGGGAAGCCTCCAGCCTGGCCTGTTCTGCCCAATCCCACCCGTGCTGTTGCAAGTAGATCAGCTCCCTGTCCCCAAGGCTGTCCCGTTTGGTTCCAGCTTAACCAGTTCTTTGAGACACAGCAGGTCACCTGGGCATGGACCTGTGGATCCCTCCAAGGCATTCAGGGTTGTCCTTATCCACCCCACACCATATCCCACAGGTCACTGCTCCAGTGCAAACTGGCTGACTCCCAATCTCCTATCTGCATTTCTTTGCCTGGGGGCTTTCCTTCAGATGGGGACAAAGTGCAGGGAAATTAACCACTTTTCTTCCAGCAGCCCTCCTCCAACGACTGACAGGCTGTAAATACCCCAGCTTCCCCCTGGGTGGGATGACTCTACTGTGGTGTGTATTCCACAGTCTCCCAGGGTGGTCTGGCAGGATCAGACCTCGGTTGCCCTCAGTGGCCACCCAGTACTGACTCTTCTCCCCTTCCCAGTTGACACTCCTCTCCCCTGCTGCTGTATGGAGGCGATCTCCTTGAACTAAGACTTTGACCTTGGCTGCTCAGGAGCCATTAATCGATGTAAAAACCCACCAGGTACCAGCTGGGTGTAGCCAAGTCACTAGGACTAACCATAAGCCTGCAGGCAGGCCACCCCCCCCATCACAGGTGATGCTGAAAGACGCCATTTCCCAGAGACAGAGAGCCTCTGTCCTTCGAGGTGCAGGCCTGGAGGTGAGCTGGCACTGTCCTCCTGTTCTTACCAACTGGGATTACCCGGGACAGAAGTGCAGGTGACTGGTATGTTAGGTACTGAATGAAGCTTTAGAATTCCTTCTTTTAGAGTGACAAAAATCTAAAACAAGTAATGTATTCTGTGCATGCAGAGGAAGTCGATCCACCTTGGGTCTGTGGTCCCAAGCAGGAGTGACAGGCTCCTGTGCTCACTGACAGGCTCCCATGCTCATTGGCCTGTGGTGCAAAAGGTCACCAAGGGGCCCCCCATGCTTCTCTCCTTACGCTTTTGCCAAGTGCAACTTTTATGTCTCTGGATAAAACACACTAAAGAAACAGAATTCCCTTTTTTTTTTTTTACTTTGGTGACAAGTGAGATCCTGTGATGGAAACTGGATCTGTAAGAAAAATAAGGACAGAGCCATTAGCTTTAATAATACTCTGTGGCTTTCTAGTTTCACAGCCTCATGGGTGAAGGTTAAGCAGCTAAGACCCTTCCGTGGAAAAGTAAATTATTTAGGATTCATGCTTCTTCCATTCTTCATGTCCACTCTTCCTTTCAGTCACATTTCAGGCTGTAGTGCCTTTTGACAAGTGCCTGGCGTATGCTTGGCTCATGCCCGGCTCATCAGTGCCAGCGCCTCCCCTGCTTCTTCCCCTGAGGGCCCCAGAAGCTAAGATGGTGCCTCACTCCCTAAAGCTAGGCCGAGGTGCTGAGTTTGACTACATTCGGTGCCCAAAAGAGGTGGGAAAGAAGCCCTTTGCTTGCAGTGCCTCATGATCAACTGAGGAGGACGCTGAGGGAGAGGTTCACCACTTTAGGAAAGAAAATCTAGAAGCGTCTTTCCCCAAAAAGGAGGCAGTTTTGCCACTGTTCTCAGATGGTTTTCACTCTCTGGACAGAGAAGGACATCAAACTGCCTGCTTCCTTTCCATAGAGACTAAGACCTGAGCCTATAAAGCTCAGGACGACTCTCTGCCCCAACAACGCACCCCATCTCCCTTCCCCACACTGACTCTCCCACACATTTCAGGGTAGCTTTCATCGGCTAGAGCACCTCCCCAGTCACCCAGCCAGCAAGGCCTGGACATTCAAATCCATCCTGCAGTGGCTACCATGTCACCTTCTAAAAAATGTTCTTCCTGTTGGAATGGGTACCCCTACCCCACCCTAACATCCATCCTCCGTGCTGGCAGGAGCTTCATCTGGTTTGGATGCCCAGCCTCTTTGCCCGGTTGGAGGGAGGCAACCCCAGCCCTGAGGGTAGCTCTAAACTGGACTAATCTAGTCAGGATAACTCCACCCCTTTGTTCCTAATAACCACTAAAACTCTCAGGTTTTCAAAAGGCTTCCCCTGACCCTTGCTGATGCAAACCCTTAGACGCACAGTGTCAGCTGAATGAGGAGGTGGCCCTATAGGCTGGGCTATGGCAGAGGCAAGTCTCGAAGAAGTCAGGGCCTGCTGAGGTCAGTTAAGACACATCTCAAGCAGCTGATACCAATAGGTATTGATCTCTACAGTATTTTCCCAGCAGTCACTGCAATGGCAATTTGGCAAAAGCAGTAGGTCATGTGGGGGAAAGGCCTCCTCATCAGAATCACCATGTTCTGGAAAGGACCCTGTCTCCAGAGACTCATATGGGGGGTGGGTTGGTAGAGCAGTCTTCCTCTGCTGCACATAAGTAAAAAATGAACTAATTGAAAGAAAAATATTAGGTGAGATTACAGGTGTTGAAAGTCAGTAAAGTTTGGGGAACACTGTGTTAAGAAATGTTGATAATAGGCCTCATGTGAGGGCTCACACCAGTAATCCCAGCACGTTGGAAGGCCAAGATGGGAGGACTGCTTGAGCCCAGGGGTTTGAGACCAGCCTTGTCTCTCCATTAAAAAAAAAATAGCTGAGCATGGTGGTGCATGCCTATAGTTCCAGCTACTTGGGAGGCTGAAGTGGAAGAATCCCCTGAGCCCAGGAGTGCAGTAAACCACTCGCCACTGCAGTACAATAGTACAGTCTGGGTGAGTGAGACCCTGACTCAAAAAAAGAAAGAAAGAAAGAAAGAAAGAAAGAAAGAAAGAAAGAAAGAAAGAAAGAAATGATGATGATGATAACTGTGTTGAGTGCTTAACCTGTGCCAAGAACTAGGCTAAATGTTTTACATGCATTTTGTTTTTCAGTCAATCCTTCCGAAAACCCAAGAAGAGCTGTGCTATTATTGTCTCCATTTAACAAGGAGAAAATGAGACTTCAGGAGTCAAGGAATTTGCCTCAGGCTCCAGAGATACTAGATGTGGAAGGGGCATCTGACCCCAAGTCTGGCAGCCTGCACAACCCATGCTCACAAACAGTGGGCTCTGCTGTAAGAAATCTCAAGGTGAAGCTGGGCTCGGTGGCTCAGCCTGTAATCCCGCATTTTGGGAGGCCGAGGTGAGTGGATTGCCTGAGCCCGCAGGTTCGAGACCCACCTGGGCAACT